AAAACGATAGGGGACGCCCTAACCCCACAACGAGCCTAGCACAAACAAATAATTCTGACGCCGGCTCATATATACACATGTATGCCAATGTATGTATGTATGTATGTATGCATGCGTGCATGTAATGTATGTATGCATGCATGCATGCATGCATGCATGCATGTATGTATGTATGTATGTATGTATGTATGTATGTGTGTATGCACAGCATATGTGTTATGGATATATCATAGGTACATGTATGTATATATAAATAAATAATTAAATAAATAAATAAATAAATAAATAAATATATATATATATATATATATTTCAAAAGTGTATGTATATATATATATACTCATTTCAAAATTGTGTATTTGGTTGTGCGTTCTTGTTTGTCTTTGTGTGGGGCGCGTATGCTCAGGCTGAGCATTTCGAGATGGTGAGGCGTGCTTTGACACGGTAGCCGAATGACAGTGTGGAGCTTTTTCCGTTTGGGTTGTCTGCCAAAGCAGTCGCCGACAGGGAAGTGAGCAAGATATATGAGCTTACCTCGGACTTGTGCGACGGACAGGCCACGCTGATTTCGCAATTCGCTTTCACAAACAACGAGAGAAGCCGTCATGCCTCTACATGCAGGCGGCACAGCTTGACCAGTTGGACATGAATTATGTGGAACAGGCCTGCAGCAGACGATCAACAGTATTTGCAGCACTGAATTCGCGAGAAAGCGTCTGGCCATAAACCTTTCGCGATTCTTGGGCAGTGCTTGCAGCGAACAAGCCTGCGCAGAAGCTCTCAGCTGCCAGATGATTTCATCATGAAATGGAGGTGCTGTCGAAGAACTCCATGTTCTTCATGGAGGTGTTCCTACACTTTGCAGATGTGCCCATTGGCTCAGAACGACGGGTCTGCAACAGGCTTGGTGTGTAAGGCCTGGGACCAGCGAGCCATGAGGTCAAATCCCCTCAAGCCCTTCAAGATGTGCCATGCCTGGGCATGGCGCGTTCTGGAAGAGTTCTTCAACCAGGCGCAGGGCATGCTCAGCAGACAAGTACTGCTTGTGGTTAAACCAGTGGCCTGCATAAACCGCAAACACATCGGTCGCAAGCCGACGCCAGGGCGACACTGAAAAGGAGCTTGGCTTACCTGTAGGCCGGTCGTCCTGCATCCTGTCCAAAGCTTGTCAGAAGCAGATCTGTTCTTGCTGCAACACCCGCCAGGCATGCTGAATGATAGGGACAAGATAAATCGTCCTGGCTCTCAACATGGTTGCTTTGCTGCACTGTGCAATCAAAGAGCTGTGCCAAGCGTGAGCTGAAGGCACACGGGACTGCATTCGTCTGGCCGAGGCTTCATCAACTTCATGGTCGCCCCATTTGCAGCTGGGTCGCAAAGCCTCCAAGGGGCCCTGTGAGTGCCGGATTTGGCTCTCATGTCGGCTGTGCTGCCAGTCTCCCGACGGTGCCCTTCATGAGGTCTTGCACACTGTGAAAGTGTTCCCTGGCCTCCATTCAGCCTTGCCCTCAGCTGTGGTTGCGGGCCTGTGGTGCCTGAGATCATCTTTGCCACTGCGTAAGGTCTACACTCAAATGGGGGAAAACCTCGAGCAATGGCGACACATGTGGGTTGCTGAAGTGAAGCCAAGCGAGGAGGCAGATGTTGCAGGGAGACCGGGGACCTTGCACATGATCGGACAGGAATCGCCCGGTAAACACCGTCATGTCCGCAGGAGATCGCAAAGAAAGATGCTGATGCCGCTGACACGCATATTTTGCAGCGTTTACAGTTCCTCTACTTGCCATGCTCGTGCAGCTCAGCTGTGAGGTGCAGAAGATCAAGGACACGGCTTTGGAGCTTCGAAAGAGGACAATGCCATAGGCATGCCTCGATCGAGGTGACCCGACTTTCACAAAGGCTTGTGTGGCACAGGTCTTTGAGTGTTTCAGAACCTCCCACATGATCAAGCAAATGCGACAAGTAGGTCAGTAGCGACGACTTTCTCTGGAAATCGCTAGAAGCTTCAACTGATAGGAACTGCGAATAAGAAAGTGAAAGCCATAACCGTGCGTTGGACGCGTCGTGCCTGGCCAAGGTCTTTGGCCAACGGAGTCTGTCACGGCACCAACGAGTCAACAGTCTCTTTCGCTGTGTTTTGTGAGACGAGAGTCTCGGTTCCATTGAGTGGCGCCTTACGAGTCATGGGGCAGAGACAGGTACTTTGGATTAATCACGGCTCCCCCACGTCTACGTTTGTTGCAGTGCATTCCTTGGCCTTGTGATTCGTGCGGCAGCTGTCATCCAAAGCCTGGATCCCATACTGGGCCTACGCCGTGCTCGCATCTGAAAGCCTGGTGCAATGTCTGACCTTCGTAGATACACGCCTTGTTCAACGAACATGGCCACGGGGCTGTGCCCACCCGATAATGTACAGACTTAGCTCCCTGGCAAAGCCAAGCGGGTAAAATGCGTGCGAAGGCGTGTTGCGTGTGCAGGCCGAGGCCACGACTAGGCCCTAGGCGTCACCTGGACCTTTTTCAGCTGAACCCGCAGGCCGCTCCTCCGACTCCAAGTCCGGAACTTGAAGGCTCCGTTGTTAAAGAGACTTAGGAAGTTGTGTGAAAGTGTAGGGTCTGGTAAGAGCCCTGCCAGGCCAACAACACCAGGCTGGTGCCGTGTGAGCTTCCGATGCATTCGCTCAAGCGTGTTCAATGCCATGGTTTAAGTCTGCATGCAATCTGTTTTCTGGGAGAGGAGATTCTGCAGTTTACAGCGGCGTGACAGGAGTGGTGGCCTGGTCACGGTCGTGGACGGGGAGGCGTGATAGCATGAGAGCTGCAGGTTTAGTCAGGTTTCGCTGCATTGCAGCGCGTGTACCTGTCGCAAGCAAGCATACTTCCGTCAGCGGTCGTGCCGCGGTCGGCTCTGAGCATAGTTTTGAAGGTGTTGTGGGAGGTTTCATTGAGTAGGTTGTAGGTTGACAATCGATCATGTATGTATGTATGTATGTATGTATGTATGTATGTATGTATGTATGTATGTGTATGGGCAGGAGGTCACGCAAAAACATAGTGTCCACAAGCAAAAGTCTTCCTCCAAGCGGCTGCAGTCCCTATGCCCTTCTTACTGTGTTGGCAACGACGGTTTGCAAAGGTTCCAGGCCCCATTGCTGCTGCTTTTGTTGTTGCTGTTGTTGCGGTTGTCGTGGTGGTGCTGATGGTTGTTGTTGTCGTTGTTGATGAGCACTGTAGGAGTGTGGCTCTTGTATGCCCTTGTTCCTTTCGGGTTCCAGCACAAAAACTGCTAGTGGCACACCTCTCTTCTTTTTTGCACGTCGCTCGACCCCCCAGTTCCCTGTATTTGCTGCTACTTCGGCCCCGCTGCTTCACGCACAGACAGAAGCACACTGATACTAGTAGTCAGAAGCACACTGATACTAGTAGTCGTCCTTCTCTCCCCTTGCGCGCCCTCCGCCTGTATCGTCGTCGTACGAGTAGTCGTAGTAGTCGTAGTCGTCGTCGTCGTAGCAGTAGCAGGAGTAGGAGCAGGAGTAGCAGTAGCAGTAGCCGTGGTAGTGCCAGTGGTAGTGGTAGCAGCAGTAGCAG